ACCCCAGGGGTTCGGTGAGTCGGTCTCAGGGGTCGGACGGAGCCTTTGCCATGGAGGGTAAGACACACGGCGACTCAGGATGTTAATTAGTTACGTCCGCTTGGCAGTCACTGGCTGCAGATGATCACATTACATTGCTTGTCCAATCAGTGCTGTGGGAAATTTAGTTCACTTAGTAGTCAACGTGTGACTGTCGTAATAGTATGTCGTACAATTAAAAAGAAAAAAAGGTATACTTATCTCTTGAAATTTTATTTACTTTTTTTCTGTTTTTAATAAATGCGTTTTTTTTATATCCCTAATTTGTAAAATATATGCATATTTATTTTTCACTCATGAAGGGTTCGGTAAATGTGCATATTAACTGGTTGGGTTCGGTACCTATAAAAAGGTTAAGAACCACTGATCTAAACTATCCATCAGTTATCTAATCAGGGGACTAGTGCAGTTTTAGAAAGACAATATACTGTATGCTTTATCTTTTACTTCAAGCGGTCACTGCTCTCATTGGTGCATACATTTAAAATATGCTCTCAATTTGTATTGAAAAAAATGACACCTTTTATTTTCATTGCCCATAAAAATAAAAATTGCATTTTTTTTTTTTGAAGTTGGTTCATTAACAAGCCATGAAGGTCAGAATAGTACATGATTACATTTTGATGGGCCGTCGTGCTCGGGTTAAGTAGTTCCAGGAATCGAGGTGGGTGCATTTCATTGACCACTGTAGTCAGGCGTGGTTTTCGAGACTGCAACATCTTCTGCATGTCAACATCAGGCGGCACCTGCAGTGGAAGCACATACAGTATTGAGATAATAGCAATGACACTGTGATTTATTTTGAGGTCAATGAAGAAAAAACAGTAACTTTTAAAGTATAAATATCACAATAACTTTTTGCTGTTGTTATATGTCTATCAAACTGCTTGAGTAAGGGGAAAAAAGGATGTTGAATGACATCTTAACATTTTACGTAGAACCAAATATGCGTCCAGCCTCAATATTACTCTGTGTCGTTTCACAGAAACTGTCCCATTATCCCGATGCAGTATAAACTACGTGTTTTTTGATTAAGTAAATCAAGAAGTCTCTCGTCACAGCCAAACAATCTATAGAACTCATCGTGAAATAAAACAAGAAATTATACATAGTTTAAGAAGAAGAAAATAAAAGAATACAAGTCTCACCCGACTAGAAAATCCAGGCGAGGTGATCAGCGTTCGTCGGTTATGTTTTTGTTACCATGGCGACGGACCCGAAGCTCATTTTGAAAACGTCATGAAAACTGGCACGAATAAAAGAAGTCTCGTGATCAGTGTGAAAGTTTCTGTTCATAAAGAGGCAACTTAATGATGTCATCTCAATATAGCGACATTAAAAAAAAGTACAATTTAATCAATGCCTCGCAAAGAACTCATAAAAGAAGCATATATTGCTAAATTGAAAACGGTTGTAATAAAGTACATTAACCTAATTTGGGTGATTTGATTGGCAGGTAACGGCACTTCAGTTGTTTCTGTTCGAAATTAATAATGCTCGGTGTTTTGTAAAAATAATGATCAAAACTTTCAGTAGAACTTAACCCTGAAGTACATGAAGCTCTTTCTTCAGGGCATCCATGCCCAAGCACGTCACTTTAACATGAACGCACTTCAATCATGAACAAATGTCCAAAAAAAAACATTAAGTAAGGCTCATTTTCTCACGTTGCAACTCCTGCTGCAGTGTGCATCCGTCACGTATTTTTTGTTAAATATCACGTAAAGCATCGCGATGCTGTTTTAAAAACTGTAATGGGGGAAATTTCAGAAAACTAGGCAGGATAAGACTACCGGTGCATGAACTTGTAATGGCAATTCAACGAAGCGGCAGTGTTCATGAGAAAAGCCAGCTGAAAAGTTCTGTCCTTCCTCTTCCGGTTGAGTTCGTTACTGATTGTGCACATTCACGAGTACTATAAAATGTTTATGCCCGGGTACATACAGATGTAAAAGGTGTCACTGAAAAGCCCTAATGTCATTTTAGACCGTTTTGAAGACACAGTGTCGTCTAATTTACAGTGTATGAAAGCGGGGATAAGCGGTTTCGAAAATGGATGGATGGTTGGATGGATGAAAGCATCCACCAGGGGGCAACAATGCACTGTGAGTAGATAAACATTTAAAACGAAAATCCACAATTCATCCCCTCATCCTCCATTTTCTTTGTACACCCTGGACTCAAATGGCCAGGCTCATATTGTACTGTTCAGTCAAACACGGGTTCATAATCGCATTCAACCCATCCAAGTCTTCAGTGTTAATTGTGGAATGTGGGAAGAAACTCCAGATTCAAACCCATTCACAAAGTTACTCCACCTTGCCCTCACTGTGCCAGATACATGTGGAAAGATCATTCCATAGGATAAGATTAAATTGTTTACATTAGAGTAGATCAGATAGATAGATAGATAGATAGATAGATAGATAGAAGGGCCCCCCTCCATAGGACATGTTGAACATCAAAAGAGGAACTGTTATCTCAAGTATCTGTATTCCTGCCATCACACCAAATGGTGGGTAGTGGTGGTCTGGTCTCACCTCACCACTCCCAACTTCTTCCAGCCATACCGGGTCAGATGACATGTTACTTTCGTTGTTTCTGGGATTTGCATAGAGGCGCAACTCCCCGCCTCTCATTATCATATTGTCTCTACATAATCTCATGACCGTGTTTCTTCTACGCTTCCTGATTGAAATCTGGACCCCCTCAGGAGCCCGAATCGATTTGTAAACTGCAGAAAATAAATTAAACCCTTCGAAGGAACTGTTCATCGACTCCAGCCTTTATATGGATTACCAACATTCTCCTCGTCCGAAATTAACGAACACGCAGGGAAGAGAAAGGCCACTCTTCCCTCAACAATAGATAGATAGGAGGGAAGAAAGACTTAATTTAAGGTGTTACCTGCAATGGCAGTGAATATGCAATGCCATGTTAATGATTCAAATAAACCACTATGTATTAAACATGCAGCAAACCTGTTAATAGCCATTACAAATGCACAAAGATATTGCACATTCGAATAATATTCATTGCATGTGAAAAATGTTATCTGCTATTGCAGTGTCCAGGTGGATCCTCTTCATACCCAGTGTATGCAATATGAATTAATGGCGAATGGTATCAAAGATGGTCTGAAGCGTTGTTTCCGGCACTGAAGCTGAATAAGTCTGTTTGAGAAAGAGCTCCTTTTCTGTAGCTTGTCATAGAGAGAATTTCAATGATTGTTCAAAATGGAGAGAAGCTTGCTCAGTGGTCTCTGGTCCCTCACTGACTCAAATGTGTCCATCTTGAGTCCTACAGTGTCCCCAGCCTTCTTGATGAGTTTATTGAGCAATTTTTCATCCCTGGCATTGATACTGCTCAGCAGGCAACAGCAAGTAGATTGCACTTGCTGCCGCAAATTGGTTGAAAGTGTCTAACATCTTGCTACTTGTAAACAGCATTCATGCATCAGCACCAGCATCCACTTTAAAAAACATGACCCCCACAGTGTCTCCACTCTCATCCAGATGTGAGTGAGGACGATGCATCAGGTAGGTGACAGCATCATCCACGTCAACATGGGGCTGGTTTCCAAATTGGACAGAGTCCAGAGCAGGTTTCACCTATGGTCGTAAATGGGCCACCATCTGTGAGACTGGGAGACTTGAAGTTCACAGATGTACATGAAAGTAACACACACACAGTAAAGGTAATAGAACAAAAACAATAAAATGTCACCAAAAATGAAATCAGACTATGGAATATTCATTCATTTTTCATCCATTTTCCGATCCAATTAATCTTCACAAGGGTCGCAGAGGGTGCTGGAGCCTATCCCAGTCGTCTTCGGGCAGCAGACGGGGGACACCCTGAACTGGTTGCCAGCCAATTGCAGGGCACACACAGACGAACAACCATTCATGCTCATGCTCATACCTAGGGACAATTTGGAGTGCTCAATCAGCGTGCCATGCATGTTTCTGGAATGTGGGAGGAAACCCGGAGAAAACCCACACAGGCCCGGGGAGAACATGCAAATCCACACAGGGAGGCCAGAGCCAGAATCGAACCCTGCACCTCTACACTGTGAGGTCGACGCGCTAACCACAAGTGTTGACAAAAAGTTCGAAGGGCATTGTGTTATAATGTGCATACATTGTACGTGTACTTGAAACATTCATAAGTTTGGTCCATGAGGTGCTTACAGCCTAAGTTGAAAGAGTAGAGTTTGATGTAGAAGGCTCAAAAAGATGTAAATTTCACCATGGGTTGTCTTGTTAAATGCGGCATAAGTCAAGAAGCCTTTGAATCAAAATTTGGATTTGTCATTTATACCATTTGTTAGTGTGTCCAAACGTTTGACTCTTATTATATTACAATATACAAATTGCAAACCACAAAGTCAAATATGTATTTGTGTTTGTGTTTCCACTTTGGTGTTTATGACGGTCAGATTCCGTTATGGTTCTTAGAATGTTCCTGCCATTCTGAATGTATTGTCTCTCAGCTGAGACAGTTTATTCCTCAAAATCTTGGGCAGTGCATGTTCCTTGTGATTTTAGTGACCTAGGACAAAAGTGAAATCCCAAATAAATGAATTCATTATGGATATTATCTGCAGCTTAAGAAAATATTCTCAACCCAATCAGCTTCCCAATTGTAACGAGTCCAAAGTGCAACAATGAAGTCTGTGTGCCATGCCATCTGCATGAGCTCAGGAAGACTACTACTCAGATTGAAGTGAGCAAACAAGAAACCTGTTAGTTCTTACAATCAAGGTGTGTAGAAGGGATGGGGTTGTCACGTTACGCACGAAGCAGGGAAAAGAACCGCTTTGTGCGTAACAGAAAAAGGTGAGAATGAGTGGATCACCGAAAGAGCAGACACTGACAAAGGACTCTGTCTCAAAAATAACATTTATTATTAACGAAAAACTCCGCCTAATGGAAAAACAGAAAGCGCTGGTAATTAATGAGAACCAGGAAATAGAGAAAAAACGCGACAACAGAAAACGCTTGCAAAAAACGGCAAGGAAGAATATGTAGCCAAATATTGGGTACAGCACGTACTTAAAAATAGTCTACAATAGGACTAGGAAATATAACAATCAGCGATAGTGTACGAGTTCGTTCGAGTAAATGGGCAACAGCAGTGGCACGGCGTGCAATACTCCGGCAATGTGCTGAAACTGGAGTGCTTAGATATAGCAGGAGAGATAATTGGCAAATAGGCAGCAGGTGTGCAGACAGCAGAATGAACGCCTGCCACCTGCTGCCCAATACGGAACATGACAGGGGTAAACACAGAATGCATTTAATGAACATCTGGAAGCATTTAAATAAAATACACTGACATGTGACAAAAGGTTCAACATTTACTACTTTTAGAATGGTGTCAGGCACTGTCCTGTATGTTAGCTGCAGGTTGTCAGAGGAAGTTCCCAAGATGTTTCTGTATTAGAAGGTGACTTTTACAGCCGGGCAGGCCCCAGAGGAAATAATGTCTTTCTTGAGCGTGAAGTGGAAAAGTCAACCAAAAGTGGTTGGTGCAAGGTCTGGATAGTCCTTGAATTTGGACAGCCGTACCAGCAGCAATCCTGTTTGAAATCTATTTTCTTGCGGTGGTTGCAAATAAGAACAACCTTACCTCTTAACAGACTATAACAAGGGTGTCAAACTCATTTTTGTCGCGGGCCACTTTTGAGTTACATCTTCCCTCAGAGTGCCGTTATGACAGTGAAACAACAAAAAATGTTTAATTGCACCTAACGCATTATTACTTTTATGGGTAACAAAATTATTGCAAAATCTCAACGTCATTTATTACACGTCACAATTTGACATTTCAGTGCATTTTTTTCGCAAGGATCCTGTAAGTTGACACATATGATTTTCTTTCAGGGGGCCACATAAAATGATCTGGCAGGCCAGATCTGGCCCCCGGGCCTTGAGTTTGACACCTGTGGACTATAACAAGTACATTTTTCCATATTTATCAGGTTACAGTACAGCTCTACCTCAAGAAGGCATTAAGACAAATCAGGTGAGATAAATTCCAACTTGTAGGACACTTTCTCTTCCATGATTGGTGAGTAGAAATCAAAGCACAGTTCTTGTGATTTGGATTTGGATCCCTCCAGCATTCCCAAACCAAGTATAATTCAACAGCCATTAGACAGAAAAGACCATACAAATGTGTAAAAATTTGTAATTTTTGTTATTAATTTCTTTCAACATTTTGGCATTGGAATAATTGTAAGCGGATTAAATGTATTCCTCCCAAGCCTAGCTTTGTCTTATCGTGAAGCAAGTGATGTGATGAATTAATGGGGGGCGGGGGGGGATATCAGTAGCTCGTAAACCAAGACATTTTGGAGACCGTCTGCAAGGTTTCTTATACAACACAATGACAGACACTGGAAGACAAATGATGCTGAAGCATAATGTGTTCGACCGTATTTCTTCCAATTAAGCCTTTAATACCCCCTAATACCAGAACGGGGGGTCCATATTCTTTGACTACTAAGCACTTCCCGCAAATGCCCTTGTAAGTTTCGAATGTGGGTGACACACACATGGTTCCTCTCCTCCCCGTTTCTCTCCTACCTCTTTAGTGTAGTTTGACTCCTGTCCCCCTCTGGACCGGAACCTGTCAGAAAAGCTGCTTGGG